GCAATATCATCAACAAATTTAAAAAGATTAATTATTACGTATTTGTGAATTCACGTTTTCCTGCTAGTAATAAAAACAATGTTTTTTAATAACTGCGATTTAGTACTTTAAATTGTACGGGAAGTCTGTGCGGATCTTAAGCCATATCAATTTACCACAACCAATGTCAATTTACCCCGTACGCGGAGGGCATAAATAACTTTTTCTGTAATTTTTTACATTAGCTTAAAGAATCTTGGACTGTAATTAGTGAGCTTGAATGTCTTACATTTCGATTGTATAATATATTCGAAAATTCTTATTATCTCCCTCACAATGAAATATTATCGGAAAATATGGTCAATTTGCCCCGGTTTCCTCTACCGTACTTATCATATCATTGCTTGTCGAGTACGATTCCATCGAATCTGTAGAGTGTCATCATTCGTTATCCAATGATGATTGTATACATAATCACGTTTCATTTTTCTCATCATCCAAACGTAGTCGTGCGTAAATATATGCAGCATTGCGGTTAAACTATACTCCTGTAGATTTCTTTTTTATTTTTTATTAAATTGAATAGGCGGTGGGTAATATTGTTTAAATAATCTAATAATAAATGCAAATTATAAAAGTTCACATACAAATGTGGAGAACAGCATTCATGGTACAGAGTTTCAAAAACTAGTCCAATAACAAAATATGACGAAACTTGTACAGTTTTAATATTTATTCACTGGTTTTCAAGTAAAACAATGGTACACTGAGAAAAAAACATTCATTGAACCAAAGAAATATTTCATTAATTCAAAGAGTAATTTTTTGACTCAAATAAATTGTCATAATTCCGAATAAATGTTGCATTCAATTTATTCGAGCTTATTTGAGTCAGATAATTACTCTTAGAATTAACGAAATATTTCCTTGATACTATCCAAAGAAATATTTCTTTGGTTCAATGGTAATTTTTTCTCAGTGTATCAATAAACATATTTTTATCTTACTTTTCATAGTATTTTCATACTGTAAATGAGGTTCGGAATTTTTTGGAATGATTTTCAGTAGGTAGGAATACCGCACACTGATCATCCGATATACTTTGCTGTAATCAATGGCCTGAAAATTCACTGAATAAATTTCGAAACACTTGAACTAATGCCTTTATTACTGACTTATGTAGTAATGAATCTTTTCTTAGAGAACTGTTACCTTGTCTAGAAGTACAGCCCTCCCTCAATTTACGCGGTTTTGAAACGTCATTATTTTATTTTGTTAAGCTATTTGAAATAAATATGTATTTCTAAAACTAATATGTACTAACTTTTACTTTCGATCTTTTTTCTTTTGTTCGGACAGACTTTATTTACGCGATTTTCATTAGCGTAAAACGAATCCACGCAGAACGGATACTCCACGTAAATTAAGGGACGGCTGTATGTACATCAGTCGCAATATCAATTAATCTTCTTTTTTTTTTCTGTAATCGTGAGAGAGAATTGTTCAGTAATATTGTCTTTCCATTGTAAATTTGTTTTATCGTCGTAGTCATTTTGTTTTTATGTCCTACATGTAATTTGGTATGTATAAATTCAACAGATTCTCATTTTACTACTTTTTCTTCGCGTATTTCGAATCAACATCGACAAATGCCAGCTGACTCTGAAAATAAGCTATTTTGCATCTCTTTTTACTTTGCAAGTGTATGGCTAAACCCGGAGATTAATGCAAAGCCTATCCTCCTACGTGCATAAAACCGAGCTCCTTTCGAATATCAGCCAATCGTTCGATATACTATTTACATGTCTGTGGCGTTGTCGAACCTATTCGAATTGGATTGATTGCATTGCTTTGCTTCGACGATGCTTAAGCGGCGGAAATCAATTCCAAGTTGACATAACAGCATGAGTCATATTTTGTTGCCTCCAAGAAGTGGTTGCTTCAAGATTCTTAGTGTGTCGTTGGTGGAAGAATTGTCGATCATTTCGGCTTCGAGGAAATTCGCTTGAATTTACGTACAATTTCAAAACGAAACAATTTCTTTCTTTTTAATAAAAGGATACAATTAACAATTAGAACTGTGAATAAAATAGAAAGTGGAAGGGACAGAGATGTATCAACGGACATTATTCGGTCACATTATCGCTTTATGCTAGGATAGTTAAATGAAATTCCGTCTCACGTTTTGCTCATTGCAATACGACAATGCAATTTGCGCATTGCAATACGACAATACGAAAAAAACCTTTCTTGGGTCGTTTCAGAGATAAATCCGTTTGCATTTTCCTGTTGCGATGGAGTACCAATTGCCATCACCGAATTACCGAACGCGTTATCGAATCTAATTATCTCACCCGTACAATTGTAACATTATTGGGGGAATACAACAGTTTCTTTACATATTCATCAACGGTAATTAAATTTATGGAAATTTATGAATTACAATTAAAACCAATTTCCGAGAGAAAGAAAGGTAAACACTTACAAGGAAGGTATCCCAGATCGATCTTTCCGATTTGATTTCTTTTATAATATGTTATAGTAGACTAAAAACTAAGCAACACCTATTTTTTTTTATCTGCCATTAGACACTTTAAGGGGGTGAAACCAACATCCAAAGTAAGACCTGTAAGAGGTGGCTCACCCCATAATTTTTTTTTTTTAATTGAAGTAATTATACTTTTCATTTCTCGTTATGAGAAAGCTTTTCCAGGTGGATTGGTTAAAAAATATTATGTTCTTGTGGGTGAAACTGCCAAATCGCCCCTTAACATGCCTTACTTTGGATGGTGATTTGACTCCCTTAAAGTGTTTAATGGCAGATCAAAAAAAAATACGTGTCGTTTAGTTTTTAGTCTACGATAACATATTATAAAAAAAATGAAATCGGAGAGATCGACTTGGGATACATTCCTTGTCAGGGAGAGAGAACGCGCCCACCCGCACATGGAGTCGCACTTAACCCCCTTTCCGCACAAAACACTAAAGAGCGCAAAAGAAACAAGTATCTCTTCAAAACCGACATCGGTTGGTAAGGTAGATCGCGTGTTATGCCATGTTAACACATTCGCGACCGGCAAATTTTTTCCATTTCAAATTCTGAATACCGTTGAAAATAATGAAATTCTGAAACTGGTTGCCGCAAACTTGTATCGTGTATCGTTATGGACGTGATCCACGTCAGCGGCAATCAGGAATAGAATTTAAAAAGGCGTGAATTCCCGTCAGCGGTCGCGAGTGTAATGAAATAATGAAATTCTAAAACTGGTTGCCGCAAACTTGTATCGTGTATCGTTATGGACGTGATCCACGTCAGCGGCAATCAGGAATAGAATTTAAAATGACGTGAATTCACGTCAGCGGCAATCAGGAATAGAATTTTAAAAGACGTGAATTCCCGTCAGCGGTCGCGAATGTAATGAAATAATGAAATTCTGAAACTGGTTGCCGCAAACTTGTATCGTGTATCGTTATGGACGTGATCCACGTCAGCGGCAATCAGGAATAGAATTTAAAATGACGTGAATTCACGTCAGCGGTCGCGAATGCGTTAAGGAACAGGGGTGTCGCTTTGCGACCGCCAGGAGAAACGCTGAGAAACGTCGCGAAACGTGCGAGAGAGGACGGAGGCTCGCTCGGTGTGCATTCCACGCAACTTGGATTCCGGAGCGTTTTCTTCCGGCAAGAAGTGGGACGCTTACGGTACCCATTTTCCAGCAAAGTTAGCGCCTCCGATTGGCGTCGCCATTGGCGCTTTTTTCGCGCCGTCGAGCGGGGCTGACCGGCATGGCGGCGCTACAGCGCTAGTGCGGTGCCCGGAGCGACATTATCGTGCGACGGATCGCGATCCGCGTCCTTGAAGCGCGTGACGCTCCTCCGGCTCTCGGATTACCGTCCCGGTCCATCGTGTCCATTCCAGGCCCCTTTCCTTCGACGTGGCAAGCGACGAAATCCCCCGTGCCGCGGCCGGCCGAGGTCGGGGTCGCCGCGAGCTGACCCTCGTCGCTCAGGGACCGGCGAACCTTCGCGAAACCGGGTGATAACGCTATCGCGACAGCGGGCATGCGTATCGCGTCTCAGGGTTCACGGCTGTTCGCGACGAATTACCGATCGGAGATCCTGCTCAATGGCCGGTCGAAAAGTACGAACTTTAAGGTGACGTGAAAGTGGCATCGAAGAGATTTTGTTTATAAAACTTTTCTCCCAACTCGGTCTACCGAATAATTGAAACTTTACAACGTGAATAGGAAGACTATAAGGAAGGTCCTGAGACTCATGAAATTTCAATTCTTTTCTAATTTGTTTATAGGTATTTTAAAAATAGTAATTATAAAAAATGAAATTTCGCGAGTTTCAGGACCTACCTTAGCGTCTCCATATTCACGTTTTAAAGTATGAAACGACTTGAGACACCCAGTTCGTGGAAAAGTTTTATGAACGATTGAGCTTTCGGATGCCACTTTCACATCCCCTTAACACCGTCAATAGGTACGAGCCCCTTAATCAATTATGAGATGACTCTTTTTCAAATACTCACAATTTATTCAATAATATATGTATATTTCGGAACTGTTCTTAAACATCCTTCTGAAATCCGAGTTTGCCATAGTACTAGCTGAAAGAGGCGTTCTTATAAAAAGAATCTTCTCTTATTGGATGTCACTATCGAATGACGCAACATTTGAATTTCGCGCGCCAGCGAAGGCGGCGCGAGGTTTGCGCCGTGCCGTTCTTAGCACGCGGCAGTCGTTGAAAACGGTAAATCAAACGGGCGAGGTGGCGGTGGCGGCTACGTCTCCCCTCCGGTCCTCCGGCTGCCGCCATCGCGCGCGATCTCCCGTTTCTCCTCGGTTAAATACAAATAAACCGGCGCTCACCTGCCGCTTGTGCCCTGACATCGTTGCGGCCCGTGGTCACGTGACCCGCTTCCCGATCGCCTCCGAGGGGCCGCGCATGCGCGCCGAGCCGCCGCGCTTGTTTATCTCGCGGGACCAGTTGAGTTTTCGACTCGAAGCCTGCGAGCGGCGCCATCGACGAGCGGCCGGCGAAAGACGATCTTTTCGCCTCGGAACCGACGCGGAAAGGGAAAAGGCGCACGCGAAATGACTCCGAGTTTTCTCCTCCAGCCGGTACGGTGCGAGTGTGACCATCCTTTGACGTTTAATGGCGGCCAGCGGCGAGTGCACGGCCAGTGACAGGTAGACGCGTAAACAGGCCGCGTTCCGGAATCTCCTAAAGTGCTGGGACTTTAAATGTTTTACGCCTTATTTGTAGGTATCAAGGACTCGGCATGGATTTCAGGGATAGTAACATTTCCTCGCCACTGGGACGCTCGTGTCTTTCGCGTCACGCGGTACAGTCCCCGTTCTCAATGTCAGTTGCTGCCTCGGAAATTTACCCGTTCCTTCGAACGTTTCTTTGGAATTACTATTGGAATTATTACTTTGGAAATAAGTTCGCCGGTGGTCGCGTTAATGTGACGACCCTGCCCACTGTCGCATTTAATCGTGGAGATGATGTAAAAGATAGAAGTAAAGATTCGTAGGGCCTGTACCATGCGTCACAATAAGCGCACCATCCTGTGACGTCATATTTCTTGTGCCAGTAGATGTAAGCGGTGTAGTAATGGTAACAAATGTAACAGTTAATAGTTTCCATTACTTCAGTTCCGTGAATCAAACGCGGAGTTTTCTTAATAGTGACCTCGTGTTGAATCACTTATGAGGCTATGAAAGTATGTGGAAGGGTTTAGTTACGCCTAGCCTTCTTTGCAACACATCCAGGGATATTCGTAGTAACGAGATGAAGCGCTTTATTTGCATAAGAATCAATACCGAGGAAGACACAATTACGAACCTGTCCGATGTGGCGAAGAAATGCAGATGCGAAATCGATGAAGGATCGCGAATAGCGTTAATGTACATTAAAAAAAAAAACTCTTAAACAATCATGTACTAGGAGAAATATATAGCGTATCGTAGACATTCTCCGCAAAGTTGGAGAATATTTCAAATAACTTTCTACCGAATAATGTCGATCTAAATTTTAAGCTTTCAACCCTGCACCCGGTGCAATTTTCTAGGACCCCAATTTCCACGTAACTGATTGAAAATGTCTACTAATTACTAAAAATTGTCGTGTCCTGCTATCTATTTCGTGCGGTTTCTACAGCAGAGTCGCTAAAAAGCACTTCGTTATTTTTCTTTTTCTATCAAATATGTTCGATCTCCCTAGAATGTTATCGCGTACGTCAAAAGGAATTAATCGGCGTATTTTTCCTGCACAAACATACCGACATTGTAACTAACTGTTGTGTTATTGGAAGTCTGGGCAATAACTATTTGAAGCATCGACTCTAACATGTTCAAACAAAATAAATCCACCATTGGCGAAAGTAAATATACATTTTGAAAAAAAGTGCAAAAATAACTATTTGAATGCCGGCCATGTGGAAAGAAATCATATCAATGTTTCGCTAACATATCGAAAATCATTATTCCGAATCCGATTGTTCCTTTTAACTCGATTCAACGAAGATACCGCGGATGTAACAATTTTTGTTTTAAATAGTCTTGAATTTATTAGACTTCTAATGTCCAAAAGGACGAATTCATACAACATTACGAAAGTTTAAAGTTATAATGTAACTATTTTATTATTATTATTATTAAAGTTATTATGTAACAATTTTTTTTTTAAATAGTTTTGAATTTACTAGACTTCTAATGTCCAAAAGGAGGAACTAATCCATCCATGTCCATCACGAAAGTTTAAAGTCACAGCACTTTGGGAGCGGGTTTACTTTAAATCCGCGTGCCGCGCCGCCATGCCAGGTGTTCGATCGGTAACCTGTACGGAAGGCGACCGACGTTACCGGCCGATCGGGCGGCGGCGGCGGCGGCGGCGGCCATATTCGATCGGGAATTCCCGCGTGCTCGACGGACCGTCTACCCGTCTACCGGGCGCCGCGCGAGAGAGACGGAAGGCGGGAGCGGAGGAGGGAAGGAGAGAGCGCGAGCGAGCGCGACGGGACTTTCTAGAGGAACGATTTTTCGCTCACAGGTCAACCTGCCGTAACGAGTCGCCGCGGGAGGACCGCCGCGATCGCATCGAGTTCGAGACGGTGCCTCGTACGCGCATACGTGACGACCTACGTGCCAACTAGACGACTCCGAGGGACGTTGGGAACGCGACTGCCGAGGAGAGGTCCCGGCTGGTAGCAGGACACGCATCGAGCGGCAACGCGGAGTGCCGCGACCCACACCCTGGAGGTAACCCAACCGGAGAGAGAGAGAGAGTCAAGAATCAATTTACTCTTAGCGCACCCGGAAGTAAGCCGAGGTCTCAACACGGCTAGGAGAAAAGATAGGAGGGGCGCGAACGAGGCGCGGAGTCCGGAGATTTAAACTCCCGAGGCGTTTGTATACCGCTTAGAAGTTTTGAGGGCGAATCGCGAGGATCGCGGAGACTTAAAAATGTGACCGATCGAGTTTCGGAAGGTATCGCCGAGGCAGTTGCCTCCGGTATCGACGAGTACACGGGAAACTTTGGTGCAGAGGATTGAACCCGTATCCTGGAAGTGGTCCAAATGGAGAGAGTTAGGAAGCGAGAGTCTACGCCTGGACGAGTCCTGTAAAGAGGGGAAGAGGAAGAAAGCCGGAGAGCTCGGGAACTATGCAGAATTGGGGGCAAATTCGATCGCCGGAGACCTTCCTTGGTGTCGGATATTTACGTGTTGCTATCTTCTATCAGATGTAGAGAATCGAAAGGACGTTCGGCTCGAAAGGTTTAAAATTCGCCGACCGAGAATACGTTCTCGGGAGTTAAGTGCTAGCTTTATCGTAGAAGATTGCTGGACACGCCCAAGAAGCAGCCCAGTCGGCAAGAATCCAACGACAACATATTTCTTGTCCGACGATAAAGGAAACCGTCGCGCGAGGACTCGAGGAAGCGTCCTGGGATCTCCGAGATCTCCGTACACGTCAAAATGATCTAGACCCTATCCATTGAGTTTACGTTGCCGACAGACCAGATCGTGGAGCCAGCATTCCTACCCTAAAAGCGGTCAACGCTTGTCCTGAATACATCAAAACCGGACGGAGCTCAAGGTCGACTCTCAGTTCTACAGGAAAACTCTTCAAAGTCGGAGCAAAAGGAAGGGGAATTCCTACGCAAATGTAACGCCGAGCAGAATATCCCTGCCACCGGGTGGTTCCTATTCCACTCGAGTGTTTGTATCCTACTATCCCGGTTAAAACTCAAAGGGCGCCAATTCCACGGACTTGGACGGCATCGAACGCTGGATCGTTTCCAAAGAAAGAGAAGGACTTACTTCAGAGATCCCGGATCATCTCCTTGGTCTTCTGGACCGACAGGATCCGAGTTCCCTGAGTCCGGGTCCCGAAAGAAGCCAGAAAGGAGATCCCATAGTGATACCCGCGAGAAGACGAACCCGAGGGTCGCGCGACACCTTCGCATTAGGGGTGGATGGAGAAGAACGTGTAGACCTCTCACGCGCGCACAGTGATATGCGGTGCCGTAGTGGCAGTGTCGAGTGCCCCGTGCCCGATACTTGGATTACTTGAAGATGAAGTCGTCCGTGGGATATTATGACGACAGGAATCCGCTGCTCAAGGGGACCTTATCGAGGTAGGCAATCTTGCGTCACTTCCGTTTCAGGGTTTACGGTACGTAGCTTACCTACACGCCCGCGCATGTGCACCCGGGGGATGACGTCGCCGGATGGTAGAGCGGAGGCGCCGCTCGTCACCGGCGTACGACCCGTCGTCGGTCGTCATAGGTTGCTAGAGCCGCCGTTGCTCCCCATTGGGAGGGGGAGATGATGCAATCGTTCGCCATTGTTCGCCATTAGTCGCGGATACGGCGAGCACGTGCGGTCGCTCCGTACACATAGTACGCACCCGTACGCGCTTGCGTTCGTATTGGGCAGCCACGTGGTCGCTGAAAGCTGACAAGAGATCGATCCTCGCCAAAGCTTCGTGATATGTGCCACTGATATCGGCGCGAAAACGACGAGTCGCTAGTTTTCGGTTTAAAAAGGTCTGTAGAAGTAGAGAGAGGATTTTTCTATTTTGACGGAGCGTAAGTAGATTTTGTAATTAATCTCTTAAGGTGTTATGAGAGTGTCATGTGTGAATATATATATCAAAAAGTCAAAATATTTATAAAACTTTTCTCTAAAGTGAGGGCACCGAATAATTTGAAACATTAATACGTGATCACAAAGTTCTAATGAAGGTCTTGGAACATGTGAAATTTCACTTTTTGAAATGAAAATTTGTTTACTTATTCCGGATAAAAACCAAAAAAAAACATTTTCTTTTCAAGAAATGAAATTTTCTGAGTTTTCAGACCTTCATTAGGACGTCCATAATCACGTGTTAATGTTTCAAATGATTCGGTGCACCCAGTTTGTAAAAAGTTGTATAAATATTTTGATGTTTCGATATATATAGAACGACCCTTTTATAACACCTTAACCGGGGGTAATAGGTATACTCGGGAAAAAAATGACGACTTCGGTAACGATGGGTACACTTGTCATGTAATAAAATAGATACACATGCATTTGTATTCGGTAGATCGCTTCGCAGTCTTGCCACAAAAATTCAATCATTGAGAACGCAAGCAAATCTTGTAAAACAAGATAGATGCATGGTTGCCCATACATATTTGCAAATAAAAATTTCATCTTTAAGGAGTTATAGGAAGTAGATAGGAATGCCATGTTATCAATGCTTCGCGAGAAAAGCGAAAATTTCCTTGCAAAGGAGTTTTGAGCACGGAAAAATGGAAAGAAAATAAATTTTGTCTACGTCAAGGGTACTTGAAACGATCTTACTTTTTTCGTTTCACTATTGACGATTAAGTGTTAGAACATCAAAAATCAAGATTTACGATATTTAAACACAGAAAATTCGGATTTAATACATTTAAATACGAAGCCATGTTTTACCGTACAATCTATATAAAAAGAATGTACATTTATTTTCAGCGAAATTTAGGCATTAAAGAGACCTATCAATTTTGCACCAGTAGCATGTACGCATTGCGCTCATCCGCCGGTTTGATTTTTTTTCTTGAAAGACTCAACCAACTTGTCGAGCGTGTTCCGAGGCTTGAGACGAAGAGCTCGAGAAGTTCCATATAGTACGAGGGTACTTGAAGTAGTTGAATGTTAGTTGATTAGTTATTTTACCCAGGTTGCTCTGGTAAATCGCGGGGGCTCTCCAGAAAATAGCTTTTAAGTGAAATAATTAAATAGATTTTGATTTAATAAATTGCCAGTCACCGATACTGTCTATAACCTTAACGTACGTTCCCGAGAGTACAAATCCAGTTACGGGTTTGGTAATAGCATTCGGTATGATCGATGAAATAAAACGTTCGTTCCTTCGAACACCTTTAACTCCTGCTCGCGTCACATGTCCAGATTATCAAAGTTAGCATTGGAATCTACTGAATGTATTTTCATTTAAACAACAAGCTTCAATAGCTGTATGTCGAATTGTCGTCGTCCACTCGATTAATATTTCATTAGCGTTTAATTATCCGTTACGTGAAAATATGATCGCTATCGGAATGTTAATTTAACGTCCACATCCCTAGTAGCATAGAATAATTTCTAAATATTTCTTTTTGATCTCTGATAAATATCTCAAGCGACAGATTTCTTAAGATTTCTTGTAGATTTCATTCNGAAATAGCATATTTTGAAGGGAAGTAAGAGATAACTACTTGAAGAAATCTTTAAAAATACCAATTTGTATTCGCGTACGTAGGTTTATAATCAAATATTAATGGTGAATTATTCATTCAACATTGGCACATTTCATTTGTTTTTCTTTTCTATTTGCATTTCTGGGCTTTTAAATTTAATCTGTGTTTTATTTAAATTCATTGCGGTAGAATGCAAGAATACTTATAAAACAATCGACATCCAACTGACGAAATGAAATAAACATTATG